GCAACAGACCGGGCACGTGCTTGGCCCAAGGAGATGGAAGGAGGTCAGATTACTTGGTCCTGCATCCCCTTTTCCTCTGTGTGTGAATTCCTCCTGTCCGGTGGCCCCCCCCCAAGTGACTCAGCACCCCATTTCTGAGCCTGGCGGGGTGGCGGGAATGGGCTTCAGCTTTGGGAGGGGATCCGGCCTCTCCAGCGGAGCCCGGTGCGCGGACAGGCAGAGACAGCTGGCGCTGACTGGGAGCGCGGGCAGGGGCCAGGTGGGGGGAGGGGAAAGAGGTGTGTGTGTGGGGGGGTTGGTATTTATAGCCAGGGAGCGGGGGCCGAAATTCAACCCCCGCCAGGGGCTAGGAAGTAACTGGAAAGAATCTAGAGTGAGGACAGATGCAGGGCCCGGGAGCAGGATGGAGCTCACCCGACCAGAGCCAAGCCTGTTACCTCTGGGGCCTCACCGCAGGTTCCGCTTCCTTTTCTGGGTATTTGGTAATCGTCACCCCGCCATTTCGGGGTTGGGAAAGGAGGTTGCGCTGGCCCTGCGCCGACCACGCACCACTCTGTGCTTCAGGGGTTAATTGGATTGGAAGGGACGGAGTTTAGGGCGGCCAGTGCCCCAGTGTCCGCAGCCCCAATTGCCCGCCCTGCCCTCTGCGCCAACTAGTTTTATCGCGGTTACTTCCGTGCGGGCTGACGCGGTGGATGAAGGTGGTGAAGACGCCCAGAATGCGGGGGTGGAGGAGGGGAGAGGAGCCAGATGGATTGATCCCCAGAGCCAGATGGGATTTAAAGGTGGGGGAAGGGGGTATCCAGTGAGGTCAGTTAATGCCACTGACGGACTGGAAGCTGAGACACCCCTGCAGCCCCCAGGAAGAAAGAGGGGAGAAGACTATGAAATTGTAGATGTTCATTCTCAAAGGGAAAAATTAATCAGGTGGGGGACGTGTAGCCATAAACTCCCTGGAGAACCTTCTGCCCCCTTGCAGGCCCTTGGGAAGCTGGCTTTGTGGGCAGTATGGATCTGGCTGAAAAGTATCGTGTCTCAGTTACTGCAGTGTGCGTCTTGCCCTCTGTATCCTCCCTGAGTGTCCTGTGAATGTGGCAGGACTATGTGGAGCCACAGCCCTCATCTAACAAGTTCCCCACTGAGAAGGAGGTGATGGCATTGGCCTGCCCTCCTGGGTGCCTCCAGTGGGGGAGTCCTAGGGTGGGCAGACTGCCAGCTTCTTCTGGTCACTGCCCAGCCCAAAGCCCCCAATCTTGCTAACTGACTCATCCTACTAGCTGGTAGGTGACCGGATAGGAGGGAGGCTCATGAGGTGAGGACTTGTGTGTGGGAGAGGGCTTGCTCATTCCTTGTCCCCTCTGTTTATCCCTCAGCGTGAATGCATCTCAGTCCATGTGGGGCAGGCAGGTGTCCAGATGGGCAATGCCTGCTGGGAGCTCTACTGTCTGGAACATGGGATTCAGCCTGATGGGCAGATGCCCAGCGACAAGACCATTGGTGGAGGGGATGACTCCTTCACCACCTTCTTCTGTGAAACCGGCGCCGGAAAGCATGTGCCCCGGGCAGTTTTTGTGGATTTGGAGCCCACTGTAATTGGTGAGAGAAAAGAGGGGCAGGAGTCTAGGGAGTTTTGAGGAGTCTAGATATGGCTTTCCTTGCCTTCTTTGAAGGTGAAGAAGGCAAGCTGATTTGGGCAGCAGGCTTGGGTTCTTCTCCCCTCTGCTATCTCACGGCTGGCAGAAGGACAAGTTCTTCTATACATCTAACCAGAGCTGCCATGCTGTGGGAGGGGGGTCTCTGCTGAGCTTGTGGTTTTTGCCCTAACCGTGTGGTTTATGCCCTTGCAGATGAGATTCGAAATGGCCCATACCGACAGCTCTTCCACCCAGAGCAGCTCATCACCGGGAAAGAGGATGCTGCTAACAATTATGCCCGTGGTCACTATACCATCGGCAAGGAGATCATTGACCCGGTGCTGGACCGGATCCGCAAGCTGGTGAGAATCTGAGAGGCAGGGGGCTCCTGAGACTACGTGCATGGTTGGGAACATTGTTCAGATCCATTTCAGGAGGTCAGCTCTTACCTGCACATTTCTAGGCTTGACACTGCAGCTGTGGGATACTCAGTAGTCTTTGCCTTGGCTCTTGAAATACGTTAGGTTCTTATTCAGGCCAAAGATAGAGTTCCTTAGATCCCTTCTCTGTACTTACATTGTTCTTTCTCTTTCTCATCTTGCAGTCTGACCAGTGCACAGGACTTCAGGGCTTCCTGGTGTTCCACAGCTTTGGAGGGGGCACTGGCTCTGGCTTCACCTCACTCCTCATGGAACGGCTCTCTGTTGACTACGGCAAGAAGTCCAAGCTGGAGTTCTCCATCTACCCGGCCCCTCAGGTGTCCACAGCTGTGGTTGAGCCCTACAACTCTATCCTGACCACCCACACCACCCTGGAGCACTCAGACTGTGCTTTCATGGTGGACAATGAAGCCATCTATGACATCTGCCGCCGCAACCTGGACATTGAGCGCCCAACCTACACCAACCTCAACCGCCTCATCAGCCAAATCGTCTCCTCCATCACGGCTTCCCTGCGCTTTGATGGAGCCCTCAACGTGGACCTGACAGAGTTCCAGACCAACCTGGTGCCCTACCCTCGTATCCACTTCCCCCTGGCCACCTACGCGCCAGTCATCTCTGCAGAGAAGGCCTACCATGAGCAGCTGTCAGTGGCAGAGATCACCAATGCCTGCTTTGAGCCTGCCAACCAGATGGTGAAGTGCGACCCCCGTCATGGCAAGTACATGGCCTGCTGCCTGCTGTACCGTGGAGACGTGGTACCCAAGGATGTCAATGCCGCCATCGCTACCATCAAGACCAAGCGCACCATCCAGTTTGTGGACTGGTGCCCAACGGGCTTCAAGGTTGGTATCAACTACCAGCCACCCACTGTAGTGCCCGGGGGTGACCTGGCCAAGGTGCAGCGTGCTGTGTGCATGCTGAGCAACACGACCGCCATTGCCGAGGCCTGGGCCCGCCTGGACCACAAGTTCGACCTGATGTATGCCAAGAGGGCGTTTGTGCACTGGTATGTGGGCGAGGGCATGGAAGAGGGTGAGTTCTCTGAGGCCCGAGAGGATATGGCTGCCCTGGAGAAGGATTATGAGGAAGTGGGCATCGACTCCTATGAGGACGAGGATGAGGGGGAAGAATAGAACAGCTGCCTGCAGTCCGTTCACTATGTTTATTGCAAAATCCTTTCGAAATAAACAGCCTCCTTGCACGGTTTCTTGTCACCTCTGTGCTAAGCTTCTGCTGTCTTCCCTTTGTGCTGCTGCTGCCGCTGCCACCCTATTTGCTACTCATGACCCTTTTAAACCTTTCCATGGCTGAAGGTGAGAGCTGCCAAGGGGCCCTTGCCAGGCCCAGGAATGACTCCAGGGAACTTGCTGTAAGGCCTAGGGGCACCCAGAATAGGGAGGAAATGAGGACCAAGCCCTGGGCCTATCTATCTGTCCAGCTACCAGCTATTGAAGGATATGAGTCTTCACTTCCTTTCCAAGTAGGAGTTTAAATCCGGTGGTTTCTGTATTTGAGAGTTGGACTGCTACCCTGTTCTTCCTGCTGCTTCTGCATTCAGCAACTCTTGCCCAGGCTCCTCTGCGCATTTTGAGGGTTTGGGAGTGGGGCTGGGCTGGTCCAGAGTTCCTGGGCATGGAGCCTAGTCATAAGCTTGGGGAATGGGAAGGGACAAGTACAATCTCCAGGAGCTGTTTGTGCCACTGCACCTCCCAGCAGCTTTGCATAGCTTAGTGCCTGTCTTGGTGCTTTGGTGGGGCTTGGGGCTGTGCCATTAAAAGTCAGGTCCGTCTCCCCTCTGTGCTTTCTTTCTGGCTTCTGCCTCCCAGCCTCCTCAGTGCTGGCTGGTGGGAGCCTCCTGCCAAGGCCCTGGGGAAAATGTCAACTTTGCTAATAGGCACCCCAGGACCCATGCTGACGTCAGCATGTGCGGGTGGGCATGGGTGGGGAAGGGGAGGGAGAAGCCTCTATCTCAGGAGAGCCCAGCCCTCTCCTTGGTGATTCAGGGAGGCAGTGCCCTTCCCTGGAGAACAGGATTCAAGCCCAGCTAAGGCAGGGCTCCTGTGTACTCAGCACAGCAGGCAGGAAGTGGCAGCTGGATTCTGCCACGCCACATTGTCCTCATTAATCATTAACCATGTGTCAGCAAGAACCATCAGAGAAAAACCTGTACCTAAATGGCTACCACCTCCACTCCCCTTGCCCCCAGGCTGAGGCTGGGAGATCTGTCCCAGAGCTTCCTGGGAGTTTCCACCCAGAAGCCCTTGCCTGGCAAACCGGCTGGGCTGCTTTGAGCAAGCTACCCACCCCTGGGAGGGAAGGAAAGAACTACTTAAAAGTGCTTTTAGGGGGCCCTGGTTCCAGTTCTAGGAAATATGGTGGTATAGTGGTTAACACATTTGGCTCTTAATCAAAAGGTTGGTGGTTCAAACCCACCAGCCACTCCTCATTAAAAAAATGAGGCAGTCTGCTCTTGTAAAGATTTACAGCCTTGGACACCCAATGCAGGTCACTGTAAGTTGGAATCGACTCAATGGCAGTGAGTTCCAGTTCTTGGCGCAGGTAGAATCTATCTCAAGCCAGAGCACCTTTTAAGTTTTGGGCTAAGACAAGCTAGCCAATCAGCTGGATGGGAGGGAAGGGTACCTGCCTCCTTTTGTGCAATGATGAAGTCCTATCTTTTCTGACTCTATACCAGTTCTTCCCCTAGCAAAGACCACCACACTCTGGGTGCACCCTTTCTCTCACTCCAGGAACAATGAAATTAAGCAGCACACCAACCAGCTTTCACTTTATTCTTCTGTATACACGTTCTCCTGCTCCCAGGTTTGGAGACAGTCCATCATGTGAGCTCAGCAGTCCTGCCCAGAGCCATGTACCATATTCTAGAAGCTTCCCTTTCCCCTACCTCCCCGCCCCCAACTCAATCACAGACACCTTGCCCAGCTGTCGCTCTTGAGGGTAAGAGCAGCAGTGCAGATGCAGGACTGAGATGACTATCCCTTCCCTGCCTGCCCCCAACTGTAAGGGAACAGTCTTGGACAGAATGGATGGAGATTCTAACGAGGTGCAGGAGCCTCTTCCCAAGGCATCAGGGTCCACTTCAACAGGGCCACCTGTTTCTTCAGATTTGGGTGGTGTGCTGGCCAGGAGGGAGGGGCTGCAGTGCCTCCACCTGGCTGAGGAAGACAGGAACGTGAGGGCGCTGCTGGGGGTCCACAGTCATCATGGAAGCTAGTAGCTGCTGCAATGCTGAAGAATGCCTGCAGGGGGAGGAGAGCAGGCTGACTGGAGGATGACCCCTCCCCTCTTGCTAAGGCCCCAAAGCAGATAAGACCAGAAGGAGGCCTCTGGAACCCTTGGTGTCCCTTTTATTGCTCACCTGGAGCTTTGTGGGATGTGGAGTTGGTTCTGCACAGCAAGGGCCACACTGTCACCTTTCTGAAACACCATGTCATAAGGGCCTTCCCCAAACATCATGGCATACAGCACACAGCCTAGGGACTGAGAATAACTTGGTTACTCTCTGGAAGTTAACCAACAGAGGTAACATCCCTCTTACTGCTGTGGTGAAAGGGGGCTGTGTAAGCTAACAAGACTGCTGACCTCAGCCACAAGGCACCACCAGGGCCAGAGAAACTGCCAGTTATCTGGAGGCCTCTGTACTCCTTGCTTAGCCACTGTCTTCAGCCCTGACGCGTAGCTATACACACCCTGCTCAAGGGCAGGGATTATACCACTTCCTGAGCAAGTGAGTACGGTCTCAGTAAAGGTCCCAGGAAGGAAGTCAAGGGAAATGGAGACATATACCACGATTCCTGGAGCCCCATGCAATGCAGTAGAAACCAAAGACCCACCTTCTACTGCAAAGTGGGTACACAGCAGCAATCCTCCCTTGCCCTCCCACCCACCCACATGCTCTCACCCAGACGTCGGTCCGCTCATCAATGACACAGTGGCTCTGCACAGAGAAGAGCTCCGGGGCCCGGTAGGAGATGGTGCATCGCTGGGCCGCCCAATCCTGGAACAGTGGCCCCAGAGCTCAAAAATGGGTCACATGGCATAGTCGTGTGACCAAACTGGGACATGCCCTAGAAGGGGCTGAGGATGGGGACTAAGTGGAGACTTACCTGCAGGGCCAGGGCTTGGCGGGAGCCCTCTACATGGATACATGCTTGATTCATGGAACCCAAGTCCATTAAAATGGGCTGCCCCTCATCTCCAAGCAAGATATTGGTGGGCTTCAGATCTCTGTAGGGAAGTGGAAGTGAACCATGAGCACCCCTGGACAGGAAGACCAGAATCCCTGTGAGTGAAAGAATCATGGGGGCTACTGGAAGGAGAACAGAGACCTCCCATTTCTTTTGGTGAGGCTCTTCCTCTCTACTCAGCAAGCACAAGATCCTCCCACTGACCTGTGGGCATAACCCTTGGCATGAATGGCCTCAAGGCCTCTGCAGATTCCCAGGAGCAGCAGCAGGATTTGGTCCTCAGTCAAGAAGCTGCCTTTGTCCTTCAGCCTTTCTATCTCATTCCACAGCGTACCTCTCTGCAACACAAGTTTCCCCACAGCTGGAGATGTTCTTCTGAACCTCCTGCTTCCTATGTCAAAGCCTATCAACTTTTCACCACACACACCTCAAAACTCACCAAACCAAAACCAAATGCACTGCCATGTGGATTCTGACTCATACTGACCCTGTAGGTCTGAGTAAATCTGCCCCATAAGGGTTCCAAGGCTGTATCTTCACAGAAGCAGACTGCCCTATCTTTCTCCTGCAGACCAGCTCGCAGGTTTGAACTGCCAATCTCTTGGCCCACCTAGCAACCCCTCCTTGGGTTTCCCAGGTGGTATCTCTATAGAAGCAGATTGTCCAATCTTCTTTCCGAGGAGTGGCTGGTGGGTTTGAACCGCCAGCCTTCTGGTCAGAGCAGTCAAATGCCTTAGGCACTATGCCACCAGAGCTCCCTTAAACCCCACAGTCCCACTTAAAACAAACAAACAAAAACCAAATCCATTGTCACTGATTCTGACCCATGGCAACCCAAGTGTCCCACTGGGTGCCTCTAAACCCCAATCCGAGTAGCCAACCGTAGGACACAGTCCCTACCTCCTAACATGCTTAATTGCTCACAGAGCCCTTAGTAAGTGACTCCAGTGCAACCCCTTCCACAGGAAGCCTTCTGACCTTGAAGAAGGGTAGCAGCAGCCAGGCTTCATGTCTGGAGCCCCGCTCCCTCACGCAGTAAGCCACGAGGCGAAGGATGTTGGGGTGATGGAAGAGGCGATGCATGTCTGCTTCTCGCTGGGCCTCCTCCCGGTCCTGCTGCTCGTGACACAGAATTCGCTTCAGGGCGTAGAAGTGTCCGTCATGTAACCCCTCCACTAGGTCCACATAGCTGAACCCACTGTGGGCCAAAGGGGTCAGTGAAGGACCATGGTCATCTCCCACAATGCCTAGACCCAGAATTCCCTCCAGGAAGGGGGCTGTGTTTCTCATTTAGTAGCAACCCATTCAAGATATGTCTTTAAATGAAGTCTGAAGACTTATATTTTGAGCTCCTCAAGAACAGGAACAGAGTCACCTCTGAGGTCCTATAATCATAACACACTGCTCTGTGCTTAGCAGATGCCCATAAATGTTAAATAAATAATAACCAATATTTATTAAGATGGTTCTGTTAAAGAACCAGGTACTGGGCTAGACATTTTATATGCATGCCACACTTGATCCTAACATCTCCATTGGTGAGAAATAATACTTCTCCCCATTAAACCAAAATCAAACCCACTGCCATCAGTCGATTCTGACTCAGCAATCCCCATTGGGTCTCCAAGCCGTAGATCTTTGCGGAAGTAGATTACCCCATCTTCCTTCCACAAAGTGGCTGGTAGGTTTGAACCACCAGCCTTCCGGTTAGCAGTCAAATGCCTTAGGCACTGTGCCACCAGAGTTCCCTTAAGCATATAACAAAACCATGGCATACCAAGGTCACACAAGGTGGATCTAGGAGGCCTGGCTCTAGAATTTACTTTCCTGACTACCATGCAGTTAGGCCCTGTCAAGTGAGTTAGAGAATAAGAGATAAAACTACTGTATCCCTATCATGTACGTACTGGAGTCCTTCAGTCACCATAAGTGATTTCCAAACACTCACCCCTCCCCCAGTTTCTGGATGAAGAGATAGCGCTTATTGTCAATGACGACAGTTCCCCGAGAGCAGATACACAACGCATGGCCCATAGTGTCTCAGTCATCCTCCTCAAGAACAGTCTGAGGCTATTGAAGGGTTTGTCCAGGTTGACTGGGCTCTTCCAGGCGATGAGCTGAGGACCCAAAAGAACATGCTGTAAGGAATAGAAAGGTAAAGTCGTGGGTCCATCACAGTCCAGACGACCCCTAAAGTACCAACGCGGAAATGTGGTCTGGGGAGACGGGCCCCGACGATGCCAGCTCCAAGAAGGCTGGAGTCAAGTGCCTTAAAGCCTCAGACCACGCAATGACTACTGGGCCGCTCCCGCCAACCCCAGCCCACTTTTCGGCGTCTCCTGCTCCCATGCCCGTCGGGCTGCAAAGGCAGCGCTGAGGACAGTTCGAAGGAGATGCGAGACTGGGGACCACCGCTTGTAGGACCCACCCCCGGCAACCTCGCGCGGAGACCACAATATGCCAGCCCCCACTCCCCACTGACCTGGCTCGGGCCAAAGAAAAGCGCCAGCGACCGGAAACAGTGGTTACATCATCAGTCCGCGCCGGCGTAACGGCTCGCGGTATCCTAGCAACCGCTGGGCAGGAGGACGATGTGGGGGCGCGGAGCTGTGAAACCCGGGGCAGGCTAGGCCGGGGGAGGACGGGTCGCAGGACCCGGGCGAAGGGTCCCACGTGTCCTTCAATAGACGTCAAGACGCGGGCACTTGCGCCAAAAGGGAGCAAAGCGGGGCCCGGTCCGAGGCTCCCAGAATTTCTATCTCCTAATGCCCGAGGTAGGAGGTCTCATACCTCCCGCACGCTGGGGACAGAAAGTGGTCGTCTACTGTACTGTACAGCCCGGAGGGGGATGCAGGGAGAGGTGGATGCGCGCTGCTGGAGCTCTAATCCCATAGAACCTTCGGGGCTGTAGACGGTATACCACCATCTTAGTCTTAGTGGTTAAGAGCCCAGATTTGTGAACCAGACTGGCAGGGTCTAAATCCGAACTTAGTAGCCTACTAGCTGTGTCACCTGGGCAAGTTACCTAACCTCTCTGAGCCTCACTTTCCCTAGGCTCAGAGTGTACCTCTGGGATACAGGCCAGAGCTGCTCAAGTTGTGTGGTACCTGTGCTAAAATGCATGAACTGTGAGGCCAGACTGCTTAGTTCAAATCCCAGCACTACTAAACTAGTGTATGACCATGAACAGGTTATTTAATATTTCTGTCCCTCAATTTCCTCATCTGTAAAATGGGGATGATCGTTGTCTACCTCATAGTTGTTTGAGGATTAAATGAGATGTGAAGTGCTTAGTACAATATCTAACTCATAGCCCTCAGCAAGTGTTAATAAATGGTAGCGATAATTATTACTTATTACCCTGGTCCTCACATTCCAGGGCTAGGGATTGTGAAGGCAGGAGAATCATGCATTCCCCAACTTTGGCAGCAAGCAGTGGCTCTTAACATCTGTTGTTTTGGCAGGTAGGAATAAATTGGGGCATGATAAGACAGAATGACTGACCCAGGATGGGCCCTCTTGTTCAAACAAGGCTCTCTAGGAAAAAGAAGCCTCTTGTAATCTCGTTATCCCTTTTTGTACCCCTGATCACTGGGGAAAAGCGGTCCTGGAAAGGCCCTGGAGGATTTGAGAGAGATCAGGCATTCCTTGTCTTCAGGGAGTTCATTCTAGCAGAGCTATGCTTGTCAAGTCTTGAATGTGCATAGGATGGCCTGAGGATCTTGTTAAAATACAAATTCTGGTTCCATAGGTCTGAGGTAGGGCCTGATTCTGCATTTCTAACAAGCTCCCAGGTGATGCTGATGAAGCCGCTTCGTGGACTGCACTTTGAGTAGCAACCTGTAGAGGATTTTACAATCTAGTGGAGTGGCGGGTAGGGCTGCAGGCTGCAGACAAAAGTCCAGGGAAATCAGATGGCAACTTGAGGTGGTCTCCGCCCCCTTGCTCGCTGAGGTTCCCTCCCAGGAATCCGCCACGTGACGGTCGGACCGCAGTCTCAAACTATAGGAGCCTTACTAGCGCCATGGCTTCCAAGAGGCCGTCCTGCCTTCCCTCTCTGCTGCTGCTGCTCCTGAGGCTACTGCTGCACCAGGTGAGACAAGGGGGTTGAGCCGCTGGCCGGGTTCGAGAATGGCGGGATCAGATACCGCAGATGTAAATAAAGTAAAAATAACAAAACAGCGGACAGGGGTACAGCTCTTGGGCTAACCCCCCTCCAGACCTCTGCTGAACACCGCCTCTCCTTCTGTTTGCAGGCAAACAGTCGGTCTTTCGTAGTGGATCGGGACCATGACAGATTCCTCCTGGACGGGGTTCCGTTCCGCTATGTATCTGGCAGCGTGCACTACTTCCGGGTACCGAGGGTGCTTTGGGCAGACCGGCTTCTCAAGATGCGAATGAGCGGCCTTAACGCCATACAGTTGTAAGAAGGGCTGGCGAGAGCCGTGGGGGGTGGGGGTGGGCGGGGTTTACCCTTCGTACCACTCCATTAAGAAGAGGACTGGGGCCAGATGACTGGCCAGGGTGGAGAGGCTAGAGCTCCAGGGCTCCCAGGCCGAGGGTGGGAAACCGCAGTGGGCCAGGACCTTCTTCCACCACTTCCTGGAGATTCCCTGCAGGGCCTGAGCCGGTAGGCCTCCCTAGCACCTCTCTACCTTGGGCCCTGTTAACCTCTTCCTTCCTCAGTTACGTGCCCTGGAACTACCATGAGCCAGAGCCTGGGGTCTATAACTTTAACGGCAGCCGGGACCTCATTGCATTTCTGAATGAGGCAAATAAGGCGAACTTGTTGGTCATCCTGAGACCAGGACCTTACATCTGTGCGGAGTGGGAGATGGTGAGTTAGTTGGAAAAGGACAGAAGAACTACAGCCACCCTTGTGTGATTTCTAGACGACTCCCATCTGCCCACACCCTAGGGCCACTGCCAGCACTACACTCAACTTCCTCCTTACCTCCCCCATTCCACCCCAGAACGCCAAAACCTACATTCCTCCTTGTGTTTATGTCCGCCTCAGGGGGGTCTCCCATCCTGGTTGCTTCGAAACCCTGAAATTCATCTAAGAACCTCAGATCCAGGTGAGTTGAGGCAGGTTTAGGAGAAAAAGGCAAACAACAAATGACTCGGGTATCAGAGGTATTCTTGAGGAAGTGAGATATAAATTAAGACAAACATGAGTTAGAGTTGGCCAGGTGGAGGAGGATGAGGAGAAAAATGTCATGCAGAAGTAAAAACGTGCTTCAAGACCTGAGAGTGAATCACAGAAATCACAAGTAGGAGCTGAGAATTTAAGGCACGCTACCTAATGGGAGCTCTGGTAGCATAGTGCCTAAGGCACTTGACTGCTAACCAGAAGGCTTGTGGTTCAAACCCACCAGCCACTCCTTGGAAGGAAGGTTGGGCAATCTACTTCCATAGTGATACTACCTCGGAAACCCAAGGAGGGGTCACTATGAGTCGGAGCCGACTTGACGGCACATACCACCACCACCACCTAATGTAAATCAGTGATCTTTTGATGGATAACTTAAATTGACTGGACTGTACATTAGATTAAGGAGCTCTGGTGGTATAGTGCCTAACGCATCTGACTGCTAATCTAGAAAGTTGGTGGTTCAAACTCACTAGCCAGCCACTCTGTGGTAGGAAGATGGGGCAATCTACTTTCTTAAAGATTTACCACCTCGGAAGCCCAATGGGGGTTGCTATGAGTGGGAATCAACTTGATGGCAGCGAGTTTGGTTTTTGGTTTGGTATTAGGTCACAGGTTAGGTATTTCTGTGAATTCCCATGCTACTTCATGACAATCTCAAGTATAAACTGATTACATAATAACCTTTTAAGATATGTTTAACATTTTTATTAGTTAAAAAACAACTTTATAAAAAACACTGCTCTAAGGTCTCCTATGTTCCAATTCCTTTGATAAGCAAATGTGAGGGCTTAGGGCTGAGCTGCTTCTGATAAGAGTCAATGCATCCCAGACTTGGCTGTGGGTAAGTGGGATGAAGACTGCAGCCTGGAGCCCAGGCAGCACTGCTCCTGTGTGTGTGTGTGTGTGTGTGTGTGTGCAGAGGCTGTGGTGGCCCCTAGTGAGCAAAACACTTTGAGCTCACAGAGCTCTGCTGCTTCCTCTAGACTTCCTTGCTGCAGTGGACTCCTGGTTCAAGGTCTTGCTGCCCAAGATATATCCATGGCTGTACCACAATGGGGGAAACATCATTAGCATTCAGGTACAAGTGGAAGGGTGATTGGACAAGGAGAAGGAGGTACAAGGGGTCCTCTCCTTAACTTTAGAGCTGAACTCCTCTTTCCCTTCCTCCTGGCAGGTGGAGAATGAATACGGTAGCTATAAGGCCTGTGATTTCAGCTACATGAGGCACCTGGCTGGGCTCTTTCGTGCACTGCTAGGAGACAAGATCTTGCTCTTCACCACAGATGGGCCTGAAGGACTCAAATGTGGCACCCTCCAGGGACTCTATACCACTGTAGATTTTGGCCCAGGTCTCCTGAGCAAGAGATAGGAGTATGGTCAGGGGGAGGGACACCTCTTCTGTGATGTTTATCTTTCACCTTTGCTTCCTTTCTGCAGCTGACAACATGACCAAAATTTTTACCCTGCTTCGGAAGTACGAACCCCGTGGGCCATTGGTGAGGGGCCAGAGGAAAGGGAATCAAAGCAAAAGTCAGGGATGGGAACAGGTCAAGCTCGGTTCCCATCTCATTCAGTCCTTTTTCCTTCCACTTCACACTCTAGGTGAACTCTGAGTACTACACAGGCTGGCTGGATTACTGGGGCCAGAATCATTCCACACGGTCTGTTCAAGCTGTAATCAAGGGCCTAGAGAACATGCTGAAGTTGGGAGCCAGTGTGAACATGTAACTGGAGGCACTGGGGCCAATATGAATCTGTAACTGGGAGTTGGGGGTGAAAGTTAAGATTTAATGGGTCAACTTGTACCTTCCCCCCTGCCTTCCTCCACTTCAGGTATATGTTCCATGGAGGTACCAACTTTGGATACTGGAATGGTGAGTTCAGGTGGTCCCTGGGGCAGAAAAGAGGTAGCAAGGAATTAGAACCTGAGGGCTGGATTGATCAGGAGGTCTAGAAATTGGGTATGGCCACTACTGCTACCTCTGATGATAAAATTCACTGTATTAAACTTTTTCTTTACTTAGTGCCTGTTATCTGAAAGATATGTTTAATTAATTAAATTGGTTCAACCCCAGGTGCTGATGAGAAGGGGCACTTCCTTCCAATTACTACCAGTTATGACTACGATGCACCCCTCTCTGAAGCAGGAGACCCCACACCTAAGCTTTTTGCTCTTCGAAATGTCATCAGCAAGGTGCCCTATCACTTCATCAAACCCCAAAGCCTTTGATTAATTTTGGGGAAGGGAGTGGTCAAGTGGTTTATAAAGGGATCCTGTAAAGCAGTGGTTCCTGCCTGAGCCACAGAGCCTTCTAAGCACTCCATGGAAGCATTTCCCATCCACCCACGTATGCCTGGAGAGATACACATGTGTGCAGAATTACAGGGTCTTTATGACCCCTGAAGCCTTCCCTTGACCCCAGCTACAAAAGGCTCCCTGTTCCAGGGCCTTGGAATAGGGGTGGTTCCTGTGGTTTTCCTATGGCTTCAGAGAGAACTTGGGTTCAGTTCCAGGAAATTCCTTTGGGACCATTACCTCCCCCCAGCACCAAGATGAGACTTGGACCTTTGACTCTGTACTTGGTAAGTTCCTTCCCTTCTTCTCTTGTTCTATCCTTTTTTTCTCTTAAACATTCCATCCTTTTCTGTTCCTCTATTGTGATACTAGGAGCTCTGGTAGCATAGTGCCTAAGGCACTTGACTGCTAACCAGAAGGCTGGCGGTTCAAACCCACCAGCCACTCCTCGGAAGGAAGGTTGGGCAATCTACTTCTGTACTGATACTGCCTTGGAAACCCGAGGGGTTGTTATGAGCAGGTCCGACTTGATGGCACACAACAACAACAACATTGTGATACTTCCTTCTTCTTCTAGGATGGAAGTTTGCTGGCTTTCCTAAACTTTCTATGCCCCCAAGGGCCCATCCGTTCAATCTTGCCAATGACTTTTGAGGCTGTCAAGCAGGTAAGGCAAAAACTCACACCTGGAAGGTAGGGAAACCTTCAGCAGCTGTAGCCAAAGTTTCCCTTCTAGCTACCCACCCTCCCCACAATATCCTTTCTTCTCAGTTCATCTTAAGTATTCATTCTTCATACCCAGGACCATGGCTTTATGTTGTACCGGACCCATCTAGTTGACACTTTTACAGAGCCAACATCCTTCTGGGTGCCGAACAACGGACTCCATGACCGTGCCTACGTGATGGTGAATGGGGTGAGGACCTAATTCAAGGCTAACTTTGGAGCCCAGATTTCCTCCCCTTCCTAGCACTCTTCAATGTTTCCCTCATCTACCCTTCTCACCTGCCTGCTAAAATTTGCAGACGGTCTAGGGGTAAGTTGGATGAGAAAGTTGGGCTAAGGGTAGAGTCCAGACAGGTGGGTAACTGACAGATGGGTTAACGTCTTCTTTGCCCTCCCAACAGGCTCCCTGTGCAGCAGCCAAGAGCTGGATATAAAGCATTTCTCCTCATGGAGCCTCTCTCTTACCGACAGGTTTTCCAGGGTGTGTTGGAACGCAACATAAAACACAGACTATTTCTGATGGGGAAAATGGGGGACAAACTGGATGTCTTAGTGGAAAACATGGGGAGGCTCAGTTTCGGGTCTAACAGCAGTGACTTCAAGGTGAGCTAGCCTTGCTTGTTCCTACCCCCCAATACCATTATTGGCCATCCTCCTTTGGAAGCATGGGGGCCTAATGGAAGATAACCATACCCTTGTCCTTTGGAGTTAGGCAGAAAAGGAGTGACTTACAGGGATCTGGGTACAGCCACCAGTTATATCCCAGGGTTGGTTAGAGACCTAGTTTGGCCATCAGTAGATAATGAATTTTCATTTGCTTTCCCAACAGGGCCTGTTGGAGCCACCACTTCTGGGGCACAGAGTCCTTACCCAGTGGTTCATATTCCCTCTGAAAATTGATAACCTTGTAAAGTGGTGGTTTCCTGTCCATTTGCCGAAAAGGTTACCACCTCCAACTCCTTCCGGCCCCACCTTCTACTCTGCGACATTTCCAATTTTAGGCTCAGTTGGGGACACATTTCTGTCTCTACCTGGATGGTCCAAGGTATTGCTGATGGTGGTGACTGGGGGGTGGTTGTGGTACAGTGGTAAAAGAGGAAAATCATGGATGGAGGGGGCATAAAATTACTCCTCTGACAGGAATCCCAAAGCGGGGGCTGTTTCTACTCCCTGGGAGTTGACCCTTTCTTTTCTCCTCCCCCACCCTAGGGCCAAGTCTGGATCAATGGGTTTAACTTGGGCCGGTACTGGACTAAGAGAGGGCCACAACAGACCCTATATGTGCCAAGACCCCTGCTGTTTCCTAGCGGAACCTTCAACAAAATCACATTGCTGGAGCTAGAAAATGTGCCTTCCCAGCCTCAAATCCAATTTCTGGACAGTCCTATTCTCAATAGCACCTTGTATAGGATATACCTTAATTCCCTCTCAGCTGATAAACTAATGGAGTTAAGTGGGCACTGAAGGAAAGGCAACCCTGGGACCTGGAACAGGGAGTGGTCAGGATCCCTTGGCGCTGGCCTTGGTGACTATAAGGAACCAAAGGCCAGAAGGTCTGAATGGAAGTACAAGTGCAAGGAAGCCAAACTTTATTGTGATTAAAGTTCCAGAGACAGTACCAGCCCCACACACCTCTGTGGCCCCGTCTTTGTCCTGGTTCCCGAGTGCCCCTCACACTCATCTTCCAAATCCTTTCTGGCATCATGGGAAGAAGAAAACCTAGAGCTGATGTGAACATGCTGTAAGAGATCAGGAAGAGGGCCTCCTAGCCTGAGAACGATGATGCTGGAGGCAGCGTGTGGAGCAGAAAAAGAAGTCAAGGTAGTGAAAGGGAGTGAGGCCTTGGAGGGATGCCCCACAACTCCAGCAGCGTCTGAAGAAGAGGAAGAAAAATGGCTGGACAGGTACCCCCAAACTTTCAAATCCAAGCCCTCTTGTCCTTCTTCCTGCCATTTGTTTTCACTCCAGAGGTTCCCAAAACATCCCAAATCCCCTCAACAACCCTTCTGAATACTGCATAGATATTTATCCCACTTGTCCAAAATAGTCCCTAGAGCGTTATATTCTATCCACTCACACCTATCCCCCCATACCGGGCATTGATGATCACTGGGTCAGGGATCTGAGAGGTGGCGGCTCCTAACTGGGCAGCTAGTCGGCACTCTGCAGCGAGAGCTCTCTGAGAAGAGAAGTATAAGGACAAGTCCCCAGTTGTGGATAGAGTATCCAAGAAGGGGCAGCTGCACGCTGCAGAGGGATTACCCCTCTAAGGAAGTCTCGCTGTGGAAGAGAACCTCCAGCCTCACCTTCTCTCGGTCGCTGAGGGCAGCAAATCTCTGCTGCTCTGCTTGTTCCCGCTTCTCCTGCTCCTGTTGCTTCCGCTGCTTTTCCTCCTGTAGCCGCCGGGCTGCCTTCTGTTCCCTTTTCCGTCTGGCCTGCCGTGCTTCCATCTCTGGTGTCAGTGGCCCTGGCACCTAGAGGATTTCAGGGAAGGCATTAGGTAAGACCTGTGTAAGCTAGCCTTGGTGAAACTGCAAGAAATAGAAAAGATCTAGCCGAGATCTGTGATGCCTTCCCACTCTGCTGCTCCTTCCTTTTCCAACTGACCTGAGCCTTGTTGTAATCATAGGCCTCTGGATTCTTCTCCATGAATCTTCGGAACTCATTACGTGTTGATTTGTCAGCTGCAACTGTGTACGGTGGCCGGGCCTGGAAGTCCCTAGGTGTGAAACCCCCGAGTATGGGTTCAACTTGCCTCCTGCCTTTCCCAGCATCACCCACCCAGACCAAGAGAATACTATCAAGTAGCCAGGGCCAACTATAGCCTCCAGACCACCTTCTAGACCCCAAATGGCTCGAGATGGGGCCCTCACTTACTGCACAGTGGGGTCAGCACCTGCCTCCAGCAGCAGGCGAACCACTGAACCTCTCCCAGCTGCGGCTGCTGCATGCAGGAGTGTAAAGCCACTGGAGCCCAAGGGGGCACTGAGCAGAGATGTAACTCCAGGGTCTATGGGGCTGGCAGCTAGCTGGAGTTTCAGCGTCCCAACGTCTCCGGCTCGGCAAGCAGCTAGAAGCACACCCCAAAGCTCTGGCTGACCACAGGACTTGACCTCATCCAGTGAAGGCCCCAAGGGGGCTATGTCTGCCTGAGCTGACTCTGGGAGGGCCTCATCTTCTTGAGGTTGCTGGGGGAGCGTCCCATGTGTTCCAGCCTCCAGGTACCGGCTTCTCTCCTTCTTGTTCCTTTTCTTCCTGCTCTGCTTGGGTAATACCTCAAACTCACGAAGATCCAGGGTCCCCATTGTCATCTCTACCAATTCCAACTCCCCCTGGAAGCTGTCCTCTCCCTCTGACCCTGAACCTAGGGAGAAATACGGCATGTTAGACCCATCTAAAGGCTAAGCAGAGGGTAGAAGGAGGTAGGCTGCCACAGATGCATAAGTATGTACATAAAGAAAATCTAGATCATTCTGAGATGAAATGGTTTTTGTCACCCAAGATAAAGTAGCACATAAGAGTCAACTTCCTTATGTTGAATACAGAAATGAGGCTCTCAGCCCAGATGAGGACAGGTCAAATAGATATACAGGCACAAAAGTCCCTAAATGCTGACTCTAGGATGGTGTGCAATAGAGGAAAGCCTAGAGCAGTTACAGCCATGGAGCCAAGGGTCTGCAGCCAGGGAAGCAGCTCTTAGGCCAAACTCACAGGGTCCAGTAAGACAGACAAATGCTGCAATGTAGATTCATGCAACATGAATATTAAGACATCTTTTCTGTGTCAAGATTGTTCTAAGTACTAGAGACAGAACAACAAACAAAAGAGAGCAGATTCAGAAAGACAGTCACTAAATACGTCTCAGTAACTGCTATGATATATCCTATTTTGTAAGTAGACACTGGTGTGTGTAAATGTGTGTGTTGGGGTAGAAGAGCCCATTTGTAAATAGGGAAATGGGTAGTTATCAAGGTAGCAAATCTGCCATCATGTTTCCAAGACAGCCACACATAGAAGGATCTGGCGCTCAAACCCTGTTTGGGAGATACTGCATTTTGCCCAAGTGCTTCATTTTCATCACTGGGGACCTTTCTTCTTTTTTCTTCAATAGCCTTCTTCCTCTCCTCTTTCATTGTTTTCCAGTGTGTTTGAGCTGAGTCCAATCTGACTGTCTCCTGGAGGTCTCCTACCATAAAACAAAAGTGTAGCTGAGAAGCCAGGCCATGTTTCTCAATGAAGATGTGGTTAGGCTGTAGTTGAAGGGCTAGAAAACCTTTGGATGTGCACATGACAACTTGAGGCTTGGGCTGCAGAATAAAGAACGTCTAGGGAGTCTGGGCGTCGGATCAAAGGCTCACCGTGGACATGCACAGTGGTCAGCTTATGAAGCACACTCTGTAGTTCTCGGAAGGTAGGTCTGCGGGTGGCAATAGGGATGTCCCAAAGTCGGGGATCCCCCTGTTGCAGGGGTGCCCCATGGCCTCCAAAGAACAAGGATCGGCCAGAACGGGGGGCACGCAGCAGAATGGTCCCAGCCTCCCTCAGTGCCTCAGCCCAGCCTGGCCCCGCCAGCAGGTCACGAACTTCCTAGAGGAGAGAATAACAGCCCAGCACATCTCTACTTGCTATTTTAAAATATCGACCCAAAAAGAACCCACAGATCATGGAGGTGGGGGAGAAAGAGAGTACTAAGGGTCCTGGGAATCCCTTTCCTACCTTTGTTTACCCAGAAATGATGAAGACTGGAAGGATGCTGGAGTAAAAAACCTTTCTACTATAACATTTAATGACTTAAATTGAGAGAGAAAAAAAATTACGGATCAAAGGACCACCAGATGTGGGAGGTTTAACTCACCTTATGTAGTGTGGCTTCATTATAGCGCCTTAGGTTGGCACCAGCAGAGCGAGAAACCCCACCTCGGGCATCCCGAAGCCCCTGGGCTGTGCCCCGTTTGGCCCGCACAGTGTAGCGATGAAAGGTTTTGTGTACCACCACTTCTCTTCTGTAGACAGCACAGATTCAGTATTGTAGACCAGCTGGTGCTCCCAGGCTAACAGGATCCATTCCATTCCCACCCCATGCAGCACCCTCTCACCCTTGGAAAATGGCACCAGCAAAGTGCCCAGCTGCAGCCATGAGCACCACGCAGTATCTGGGACCTCCACTTTGCAGGCTGTGTAGCAGGAGTTCTGTATCTTCTGGGGGCACCTGGATGACAGAGAAGCACAAATATTCTACCTGTTGCATTCACTGAAAGCAGGGCTTTGAACCTTTTCTTCCTGGTTCAGTCATGACCAACAAAGCAAAACTGGAACAGACCTGAATCTGTAAAATGTGGGTGAACGATGATGATAATTGAAATGGGAAAGATTACGGGTCCACGGCCTGCTGTTGTGTCGATTTCGACTCATAGCAACCCCTCATTGGGTTTCCAAGGCAGAATCACTACACAAGTAGATGCCCAATCTTCCGAGAAGTGGCCGGTGGGTTTGAACCGCCAGCCTTCTGGTTAATGGTCAGATGCCTTAGGCACTATGCCACCAGAGCTCCTCCATGCCCTGCTAGAAACTTAAATCTCTCTCTTACAAAGCAAGGGCAATGTGCGTGTTGCATAGCAACCAAATCTCTTTACGACACAGAAACAACAATGCCCTTCTCAAAGATGGTGGCTGTCTATACACTTTGAATGTGTGTCACTCTCCACAGTCCTGGCAAGAGTCCAGTCTCCCAGATCAGGATCATGAAAGAGCTTGCTAAGCCGCTAAGCCTCTTCTGAGTCTCCCATTCCAGATTATTCGATTGTAATTTTTCCCATTCTGGTTATGGTTCTGCTTCACTCAATTTTTTAAAATTCAAGTCTGTTCTGATTTCATTTTGTCAGCCATGACCGAAACAATTCAAAGCCCTGATTAATAGCAAGAAAGCAATACTGAAGAGACTCCCAAGTGCCAGTGACATCTCATTTAATACAACCACCCTAAGGACTGTCTCCCTTTTATATATAAGGAAATTTAAGGCTTTGTAGTGGTAGCCAAGATCAAGTATAGGACGGACCACAATTGAAACCTGGATTAGTCTGTTCCCACACTTAATTCCACAATTTAATCCTTCCCAGATTCAGGTCAGTTTAACCCAGGACTATGCTGTCAAGTGTGATACCTACACCTAGACAGGAAGGAGGAGAAGAAGTGAGAGACTGGGCTAAAGGGAAATCTGGGCAGATCACACAAAAGGCTGGGATTCACCATACAACCCATACTGTCACTTGCCTGGCGAGGGCCTAGGATACAACGGTAGGCAGAGAGGAACTGGCCCTGCGCATTTTGGAAAAGAACTCGATGAGGGTGGAAGCCTCGTGGTCGATTAGGCTTCTCAAATTCAGCCCTCTCCTCATCAAATATCTGCAAGTCCTCCTCGCTGGCTGAATCTGAGTCTTCTGATCCCGAGATACTGGAAAGATCGCCTATGGACATGATACACGTTTGGTACCCCATCTCTGATCGTTCCCCAAGCTCTTTCCCTGTCTTCCTCTACTGTGTCCTACTCCCATTCAAATTTACCACCAGCCATCACCTGCGGAGCTCTGCTTTTCAAAGTCCAGGGCAGACAGGAGAGGATTGTCCTTAAGACGCTGCTTTAAGTTAAACCGGTGCCAGTCAAGCTTATAATGTTCTCTCTAAAAGGAAACAAAGAGGGAGGCAGAAGGTGGATATTTGGTAGCCGAGACCAGAAATGGAACTCCAGAAAGTATGAGTAACACTGACTTTCCTAGTCCAAGTATGTTGTTGTTGTTCTGTGCCATCGAGTCGACCCCGACTCATAGCGACCCCTCCTTGGGTTTCTGAGGCAGTATCACTACGGAAGTAGGATTGCCCACCCTTCCTTCCGAGGAGTGGCTGGTGGGTTTGAACCTCCACCCTTCTGGTTAGCAGTCAAGTGCTTTAGCCACTATGCTACCAGAGCTCCTATGGACTTGTTAATTTAAGACAAATGTCAACCTTTCCCCACCTACCATTATTACCTATACTTGTAACATGTAGCCCTGCACTCTAGTCTTTTACCTGTTCCTCATGGTTCTGGAAGGTCTGGTCACAGGTTGAACAGTATAACTTCTGTGAAATACCTGGAGGATCCTGAAGTAAGTAGTTTTCTTTCTGGGCTTGCTCTCTCACCTGAACCTATATATGGTGAGCATAATTAGAGGCAGAAAAGGAGTCCAAATTCACAGTACAAAGCAGAGGAGAATACAAAAGAAGGAGATGGCATGTCCTTATTTTCAAGGAATTTACAATCTAGTAGCCATGAAATAAAAATAACAATTACCTTGTATGATATGTTTCTTAAAAGTACGTAGAAGGAATATAAATCATTGAATTTAAATGAGGCAAAGGGATAGTTTAAAGCAATCCTGCAGACAGTAACCTGGTATGGGTGAAATTCTTCTTAACTGCAAACACCACTTCCTAAATGCCAGTTTAACTTGCATTTCCAATTACATTGTGTAGTTCATTTAAAGAGTACAAGAAACTAACGAAAACCAAGTAAGTTTTTTAAGGTATCAGTGTGAACGTAAGGAGGCATAAGGAAAGACAACAGACGTTTAGACACGATTCAGGGCCTGTGCTGGAAACTACCCTGAGATTAACTGAAGAGATCAATTTTATCCAGCAGAAAGAGAAGTCAACGTGGGCTCCTTACTTGTCAGTAAGGACAATTTCCCTGGAGAAGCAGGATACTCCAAATAGTCTCATTAGTTTCCTCATGGGTCCACCACGAACCTTCCCAGATACCTGGACAGAAGTATGCGGGGCCTGGGCCAGAGCCTCCTCGGGCGCGTGGCTCACCAAGCTCAGGCCCCGAAAGACCAGAGCATCCGCGTTGAGGTCAAACAGAGAGACCGACGCAGGAGTTGGGGCTGAAGTTGGAGCGGGCGACATGGCTGAGCAGAAATTATTTAGAAACAGCTCCTGGAGCAGAAAAGCAAAAGGAACAGAACTCCTTGGAAGAGATCCTACTGCCGCATCTCCCCACTGTAAGACTTAGTCTCCTCTACGTTGCGAAACACCTCAAATGTCACCCCGGACTCAGGAGTCAGATCCAGGGTAAGTACGTGACCCAGGTCGCCTTTTCAAACCTCAGCGTTCTAGCATAACAGAGTGATATAGGGGAGCACCAAATCTAGTCCAACAGTTAAAAATCACTGACGTTCCCTAACCGACTGCTCCTTCCCCGAATGACGAGCTCTGGCATCTACCGAACTGCATAGACTCGCGGACGCCGGTACAAGCTGTATCAAATATCCCGGAGAGCCGAACAACACGCACCTCTACAGCAGTCCGAAATCTGGATTTCTGTAACACAACAGTTCCTTCGCTACGGAGCAGCAAAGGGGACAAACAACGTCGCACTCACCTCGGCCCTGCCTCACGTAGAGCACAGTATTGGCTGTTTGACTGTGCAAGACCCGCCTCTAACCTTTAGTCCCGCCCTCAGAGCCGAGAATTGGCCGTCTTGTCTCCACCCCCTAGGGTCATTGGCCAGGCTGGCTGCGGGTGATGGTGACTGACAGGCGCCGGGCCTAGCGCTCAGGGTCTGGCTGAGCCGAGCCGAGCAAGGCCCTGAAATCACCCGGGTCACCGTTTCTGAGGTGAAACGCTGGACCGGTGACTGGAATCCCAGGACCTGGACAGGGGCCGGGCCAGGAGTGCCCACGGAGCCCTAAGAGCGCTCGCGGCGGGTAACGGGGGAAGGGGAACCAGGCGGGGCGGGGCCGCGAAGTCAGAATGTTTTGATAGCGGGGGCGCGCGGTCGGGGGCGCGCTCTGGCGGCGGGGCCGCGCGGAGGGTTGTCCGCTGTTGGGAACTGAGCCCTCCTTGGTCCGAGGCCAGGCGACCCTGGAGCTCGAGTCGGCAGCTGGATGTGGGAAGGCACTGCTGCCCACCCAGTGTATCGGCTGTAGGCCCAGCTGGATTCCTCCAACATCCGCAGGAGCCCCTGAGCCCAAGCCCAGCCGAGGCTCCATGGGCCCGGGGTCCATATAGACCCGGTGAGTGGTGATCTCCCTGAGGCTTGATCAGCTTCTGTGGACTCAGGGCTGTCACCTGGAGAATCCCACTGGGGCTAGGCTGAGCCAAGACCCATGGTCCCCAGGGTCTGCACTAACTGGGTGAGTGCCACTGAGATCCCGTGCTCCAGGGAACTCTCAAATTCATATAGGATCTGGGGTCTACACTGACCCAGTGAGGATTTCCTACCCAAGAGCCATGCCTGCCTGCCAAGTCTTTGGTACTAGGGAAACAGGGAAAGGGGTTGTCCAGAAATCCTCTTCAGAAAAGACTTATAGGGTTTTTGTGCATCCTAAGAAGCTTGCTCAATTTCTGAAGCTGACTGACCCAACCTCTCCAAGGTCAATCAGTCATCTCTTGGGACCCTGAAATTGAGTGTTTCATACAGCCGGAAGTGTTCATAGTCCTAGGCTGGAACAGTACCTCTTCCCCACTGCAGCCTTCCTGCCCCATGCTTGACATCCTCTTAATGGGGGGGCGGGAGTGGGTGGGAGCCCTTCCCATCTCCCCAGATGGGTCCCTTTCTGTTCCCACTCCCCACTCTCTGGGGCTTGACACCTTCTCCTCCAGCAGCTGCAGAGCCAGGGCATCCAGGGCTGGAGTGGAGCAGACACTGTCCATGGAGCTGGTAGGGCCATGTACTTATTTCAAACCTTTGTTTACTAAGCACTTCCAAACTGCTAGTCTCTTGGGAGACCAGGGTTTCTCCGGGAGGGGAGGGGTAGGGACCCTTCCTTCCCTTGAATAGAAGGTGAAACAGCCTCTCAAAGGGGCAGAATCTGCCTTCAGGCCAGCAAGCCAGCAGCAGACACTCAGTAGTGGCTCTGGGAATGACTGATCAGAGTTAAGGCCTCCCAAGCCCTGAGCTTGATGCCTTCCTTGGGTTACTCCTCCTCTTCTGTCTTTGGGCCAAAGAAGCTGGTTGGTAGTAGAGACCAAGCCCAAGAATTCCATTTCATTCCTTCTGGCCTAGTAGACAGGGAAGCCTCTAGGCCTGAATGAGGGTCTCTTCTTCATCACTGGCAGGTGGATAAGGTAGACAGGGGGCGGTGGTGATGGCGCAGTTTGACACTGAATACCAACGCCTAGAGGCCTCCTACAGCGATTCACCCCCAGGAGAGGAGGACCTGTTGGTGCACGTCCCTGAGGGGAGCAAGTGTGAGTTCTTGGGCATAACAGCAATAGCTGGGATATGGGAACTGGGGGCGGGGGGGGGAATGGTGGACATTAAAGGAGCAAGGAGCTCACATTCCTTCAGGGCTCTGACACCCCTGCCCCTTTGCCCATAGCACCTTGGCACCACATTGAAAACCTTGACCTCTTCTTCTCTCGAATATCCTTTGTGACTCTGTGTTGGGACTTTGGGATCTTTAGAGGCTGGGGAAATAATGATAACCGACGTATACTGAGAGCTAAAGTGCTCTGGTGGCACAGTGGTTAAAAGCATTGGCTGCTAACCAAAAGGTTGGTGGTTTGAACTCACCAGCTGCTCTGCAGGAGGTAGATGAGGCAGCTGCTTCTGTAAAGATTTACAGCCTTGGAAACCCTATGGGGAAGATCTGCTCTGTTATAGAGGGTCACTAGGAGTCAGAATCGACTCAATGGCAGTGGTTTGTTTTTGTTTTTTTTTCCAATATTAATGTGCCTTACACTTTGTAGTGGTAATTTTTAAGTAGTCTCTCTAAAGGTGATCTTCCTTCTTGATGGGTTGTTAATCATAATAATTCATGTCTTTTGAGTCATTCTGTGTCAGCTCTATGTTAAATATTTTATATGTATTACTTCAGAACTAATAATTCTACATGACAGATCTTGTTTTTCCTAATATACCACTGTGGAAAAAAGCTCAAAGGTTTTAGTAACTTGGCCAGAGTCACACAGCTGGAAAGTCAGAGAGCCAGGACTTAAGCTCAGGTGTGTGACACCAAAGTCTGTGTTCTTGACTGCTGCCTCTGCTGACTTCCTTTCCTTAACAATTACACGTTTATAATCTACACCAGAAGAATGGCTTCACTTGTATGCTCATTGGGGAGATCTTTGAGCTCATGTAAGTATAAGGCATGGATTGGGTAGTAAAGGAATATATCTCAATCTTTCCTTTCCTGGCACTCCTCCCTGGCCCTGGCTGCCAATGAAACTCAGTCCCAGGCTCAAAACTCTGCAGACCTTTACAGTTCAGGGACTGGATGTGCACCAAAACTTAAGGCCTTACTTTGCTTATCTCCCCTACAAGGAAAGCATTCCAAGTCTTACCTTTCCTATAAAGAGAACGCACACTTTGATCAGTTCATCAGATCTCTGGTGGGATGAGCACAGTCCAGTCAGAAGGACTGAGAGATGCCAGCCACTTACTTGAGAAAAATTATTGTTCTGGCTCAGCTGCATCTTAGGCCTGCTGCTAGACAGAGAGCCTTCTGGGACGAGGAGCCATGTGGCATTCATTGGCAAAGGGGTGGGGTTGGGAAGCCCTCCCTTAACTAGAAAGTGCCAATCCCCAGAAGACTTCTAACTACCATCTCAAAAGGAAATCAGAGAGTAGGGATGCCAGACACCACAATCAGAAGACCTTTAAAAGAGTCCAGTGGGTGGTGGCAGAGATTACCGTGAGGTGAAGAAAGTAGGCTGATTGTGTAGGGACTGAGGTTGAGAGAAAGAAGGGGGCAGAGGGGAATGGTTTGTGCCTGAGAAGGTCCACCGGGGCTGAGTAGTAGGAAAGGCCCCTTGTGAGTTCTCCAGCCCTTCCCATCTCCCCAGAGGCTGGTCTCTAACCTGGTTCTGCTGCTTCCAGACCCTTCTCTTTTCCTAGTTTAGTCACTGGTGCTTCCTTGACTTTTGGACTATGCTTTCTCTCCCCTACTCCCCAGGCAGTTCCTCTTTGTGGTTGCCTTTACCACTTTCCTGGTTAGCTGTGTGGACTACGACATCCTATTTGCCAACAAGATGGTGAACCATAGTCTTCACCCTACGGAGCCTGTCAAGGTCACTCTGCCAGACGCCTTTCTGCCTGCCCAAGTCTGTAGTGCCAGGTAAGGAACGTGGGTCAAAGAGCATCAGATTGTGTAGTGCTCTAGCAGGTAGGGAATGGAAGAAATGGAGTATGAGGCACCTCCTCAAACCCGAGAACAGACTAAGGGTCAGCCTAGCAGAATCCTTTGGGATAGCAGCATGTCTGGAAGATACTTTAAGGACCACCCTCTACTTTTTCTTTCCTTCCACCAGGATTCAGGAAAATGGCTCCCTTATCACCATCCTGGTGATTGCTGGTGTCTTCTGGATTCACCGGCTTATCAAGTTCATCTATAACATTTGCTGCTACTGGGAAATCCACTCCTTCTACTTGCATGCTCTGCGTATCCCCATGGTAAGACCGGGGAGTTGGGCAGTTATTCAAAATAGCCTATGATGTCTTCTGCAGTTGGGAGGGGTGGGATGCACTCCTGGGCATCAGGATCCTCATCCCATTGACAGATATGGGTGCACTGGCTTTGACTCCACTCAGCTAAGCACATGACCCCTGAGCCTCCCACCTAACACAGGGCAAGGGGCTGAGCAGCAACCTCACCTCCATACCTTGCCTCCTCCCATCCATTGCACAGTCTGCCCTCCCGTACTGCACGTGGCAGGAAGTGCAGGCCCGGATTGTGCAGACCCAGAAGGAACACCAGATCTGCATCCACAAGCGCGAGCTGACAGAGCTGGACATCTACCACCGCATCCTCCGCTTCCAGAACTACATGGTGGCGCTGGTTAACAAATCTCTCCTCCCTCTGCGCTTCCGCCTGCCTGGCCTTGGGGAAGCCGTCTTCTTCACCCGTGGCCTCAAGTACAACTTTGAGCTGATCCTCTTCTGGGGACCTGGCTCTCTGTTTCTC